TGGACGAGTTCTCCGATCCAAGGGAGCGGCTGCCCAGGCTCAGGGGGGGGGGTGTCAATTAGCGTCCAGCAGCGTCCCAGTTACGGTAGGATAGCTGCCAGCCACGCCATTCGACCGCCTCCCGGGCTGACGGTGTGAAGACGCCGATTTCGTTGTAGAGCTCGTCCTAAAGTGGCTGTTGAATGCTAAGTAACTTACACTGATGCCCAATAGCGAAGGCTCTGTTGTTGGTTAGCCATGGCAAAGCCTTACCTTAGAGAGTTTATCCAAAACTTCTCGGTGATGTACTGATGACAGTTGCTGTTTTCAAATGCTAAGTAAAATTTGTAGTTCTCACGTATCATGCGATGCGCCTCTGCCGTGTTCAGGCTTCGCTTTCCACATGCACCGAATATGTCAACCTAAAAACTGCAATGAGAGGGTTTCTATCAAAATACCGGGAGGAATGATAATGATGCCCTCTAATACGGGATTCTTCGATCTATTGATGCGAAACATAATTTTAGCTTGTCATAAGGAAGGCATAAGCTTTGATTCCTTTCACTCCTAGACTAGGGCACATCATCGAATGTATGAGATGTCGCTATCAGTACGGTCCCAAGAAGGAAGATTCCCCAAAATTCAACCCAGCGCCGACTAGAATCTACAGGGCGCCCGAGACGAGAAAATCAATGATGAAAAAATTTTCTCAGTATGACCTCCCCGGCCTGGTGACTGAACCCAACCATCCCACCCCTGATGGGATTCACACCGCGATGGTGTGCTCTGTTGTAAACATAGCCCTTTATTCCAGTCAATTTTGTAAATATGTGTTTATCAGAGGCGAGCTGACAAGGGAAGGATTGTAGGTCGAAATGGCCATTTGAAGTGAGATGTGTACCGACAGACGGGTCATCGGGCGGGGACCACGAGATCGTCTTCTACATTTGCTGCGAACCTCTCAGAACAAAGTTGCGGAGCTTACCAAGGGGAGCACACTCGCATTCGATACGAATTAGCGGCGTAAGACAATCTCGCTTGAAGCAGCGTGGCTGATTTTGCGTTATATCTTTGGTCTGAGAGATCTGCAGCAGATAGGGAATACGGTTTTGTGGATTTCCCTCCCTGTGAAGACCCTTTAGTCGATATATCTCAGATGTCCACTTCAACCTACCATCCGTCCCTTGCGAATTGCATAGCGGCTCATCAAATATATTATTTAAGGTAGGTGTAGCAGTGCTTTATCACTCTATTTCCTAAGGTGTAAAGTGAACTCGTGTATAGAGCTGACCTCGTCCCGAACACCGCAAATGGGTTCCACTGCACTCTTTTTGCGTACATTAGTGGAAAAAAAAACTTGGAACTGAACACAGTCGCGCTTCTTGACAGTTCTCTCAGACTTTTTGAAACTGCGCATGTCGACTCAAATTGCAGGCGCGCTAAAAGCTCTACGGAAAAAAATAGAGACGCTCGATTGAAGTCGTTCTTGGAACAGAGGAAAGAGGTTTCCGATATTAGACGCTGTCACAACTTTGATATGGCATCCATTTCCAAGGTTTGTAAGACTAGAAGTAGTAGAAAGAGGAGAAGGACCCTCTGAGGGCCATTTGGTCGATAAGACAAGTAGGACTAAATCGCGTAGTCGCCCACCATGTCACAGTGTGCGCTGGAGAACATCGCAGTACTGTGGCAGAACGATGGAGAGTTTACTAAATCGAAAAAGTTTGAAGGATAAGGTTTCACGGTTGACGGATTATTAGGTTCATCAAATAGTTTTGATAGGGTTGAGATTTTTTTCTGTTTTATTTTACAACTCAGCAAACAATGCAAGCCAGGGCACAGCGTTCAATAGGGATTCCCTATGGGGGGGGTCGTATGAGGCCGCCAAAGGGGGGGGGTCGTATTTGGGCTAGGAAAAATTTATTTTTATAGTTGATTTTTCTCGCTTTGCGGACGTTTTGGAGGGGGGTCGTATTTGCTCGTTGTTGGGAGGGGGAGTCGTATTCCTGTCTAGGAGTTACGTGGTTCACTTCATGAGTTTCACGAATTTTCTGTGTTATAGGTACTATGTACGCCCCTACGATGTACGTCGCATGCTTACTACGTACCGTATTTGGTCGTTGTTAGGAGGGCGGGGTCGTATTTCTGTCTAGGAGTTACGTGGTTCACTTCATGAGTTTTATGAATTTTCTGTGTTATAGGTCTGACGGGGCATATCAGGCGAATAGGGTGGATGTCTAGCGGTGTTCCAGTCCGTGTCCCAGTCTAGCTCCTCCAATTTTGCACTGGTCTCTTCACCTATGTGAGGCCTACCAATGTCATGGAGGAGGCGCACAAAAGTTCGTCCGTCCATTTTCTTCGAATAGCTTCCGCAAATTTCTGCAGCTGAGCGTAATAGGGGGTGGTGAAGGTGTGACCTTGCTTAAGCAGTTAGGAGTACAACATTCCTTTTGAATCTCAGAAGCAGCGAAGGAGAAACTTCTTCGGGTGCAGGCCGGATTTGGCTTGCGTCTGCGACTGTTCTCCTCGCGGGAGCCAGACGGCGCGGTGCTTGTTAGCGTCGTAGAGGATCCAGCTTTCATCTTCAGTAACCAGGTCTTCCAGAAATTCCTTGTGGTGTGGGCGGAGACGGAGAGACCGACAAATGGATACCCGGGTGTACCGCATGCTATCGGTCAAGACATGAGATACCCATCGAGTCAGCGCTTTTCTGTAACCGAGAGCCTGAGGGCGACCGAAGACTGTTGATTGGGCATACCCAAGTCTCGCCGTGAGACTGCGGGTGTTGACTTCCGGATCATCTTTGACAGCGTCGAGAATGGCGGAGTCGTCGACGGCGGGGGGGGGGCGTCTTGACCGAGGCTTGTCTTCGAAGTCCGTGTCTCCTTCCTTGAAAAGAGCGAACGAGCGATGGGCCGTAGCGATGGAAGTGGTGTCCTCCCCCAATACGCTGTTGATGTTGCGAACGGTTGCCGTCGCTCCGGTGCCGCGGCGCCGCTCGTAGAAGATGATGCATCGAACATGGTCTCGTGGAATTGACATCGTGATTTGAGCTAAAGGAGGAAGCGCACCCATTACGGAAAGGTTCTAGAATGTTCTACCACTACCACATGGTAGATCATCGTATCGATCAAAGTTTTGGAACTTTCAAAAAACCCCATCAAACATTTTGAACCCCATATATTTCAGTAGGCTGCACGCACCCCAATTAATTTCAGAAATGTAGTGGCTTTGGAATGCGACACCATTTAAGCAACACTTTGCAAGAGCTAATCTGTGTCCGAGTCTTTTTTTTCTTCCAAGCGACAGTGGTATCAGTCATCAAGGAATGCTCGAGTGGGGGCCAATCCAGGATTGGAGTCTTTGAGCGCGCACGTGGTCAGAACGCTGCTTCACTCCACTGCCTCCGATCAATTAGCTTATTAACCTTTAATGTTAGTACATTATATTCTGAGTAACTGCTCCCACTATTGCCTGTTTGATGCCGACTAAGTGAACGAAATGCTCGAAAATGCCATGTGAAAGCCTGTTCCAATTTTTTTTCTCTTTGCCGTGTATCCTGTTTGTTCCCACCTCTTAGAATGGTCTGTAAGCGGTGGTGTTTTTTTCTATTTTGAATTTTGCATCAAGGTGTCCTGTTTTGCCTTCAACAAGAACAGTAAGTCGGGGAAGCTATTTTATGAAGAGTATGGCCACGGGGATTCGTCTCTAGGGAACTTCGAGCCGGTTCATTCGATTCTAACGATGAGGTTTCCACTTTGACCTCGAAGGCGTCGAACCAGACGCCTAAATGAATTGGAATATACTAGATAGCACTGTTCATTATTGGTCACACCAGATGTGGAACTGGTAAAGCTTATAGAATGCTTCCACAATCTCACTAAGTTCACTTTAACACAGTGATAGATTCACGCAAATACACGGAATTAGAGATTGATATTCCCAACTCGGATCAATCTAAAGCACTCTAGGAGACAGTGTTTCTTGTCCATACGCTCCACAAAACTTGAGCAGTCTCACTTGCCACTACACTTCACTCAGCAGTAGTGCTCCGTAATTGCATTTTCCGTGAACTCAAAAACTTGAGCCAGCTATCTAGGACCTAGGATCATGAAATTTTCTATCAAACAGTACAGATTGCACTGAAAAAATATTTCCCTTCCAACTTTTCGTTATGACAAGAATGCTGAGTTATGGGCAAAGAATAGACTTTGGATGGGACTCGAACCCGCATTTCCCCTTACCGGGTGACTGCGTTATCCATTGCACTATCGCTGTCCTCTTATGGTTAGGTGAATGGCATTCTGTACCATAGCCTAACAGCACTCACATGTTTGAACTGATGAGCTGGTTAGCCGATATCGGCAGTGAACCGCGAACCTGAGGGCTTTTTACGTGGTCTTCATGCGTACTACAGCAACGTAAAATAAGAACTTTTGAAGCGCGAACTGCGGTGTTAAACAGCAGTTATCGGGCTGAACAACGTAGAACACTTCAATCACTCGGTTCACTGCCGATATCGCCTAAGCGGCTCGTCACATTAACGTTGACAGCGTTGTAAGGCTATGGCACAAAAATCCATTGGGCTGAGACAGTCGCGTCCCGTTAGCGTAATGGATAACGCAAATGCCCGGTAAGCGGAGGATGCGAGCTCGAGTCCCCGGATACGTTTTTTGCCCACGTCTCAGCTTTATTGTCATAGCTTTCGAAGCGCGAACTTCAACAGAAGTCATCATACTAATACATCGCAAATTCTTTCCTCATAAAAAAAGCCTTATCTCATGACTCATTCTTATTCGACAAGAGGTTCTTGAAAACCAGTCTGAAGAGTAGAATGTGCAAAAAAGGCTACAAAAGCTGTTGCTATGCCTAGAAACTTACCGCGCTGTGTAGCGTGCGTCCCTAGGACCTTCAAATGGATGCGCCTATACTCTAGGAAAGGGCAGGCATGTGAAAGTCGTAGGCATGGTGTATTTTAAAAGGATGGACTAGAACCTTGAGCAAATTTTCCCCTTTACCATTCAAAATGTGGTGGAGAGACTACTATCAATGCAAACCTGGATATGTCGCGCAAGGCGTCGGGCATAGTCCATTCGATGATTATTTGTGAAACAGTTTGAAACAATCCAACCGACCATACGCGTTTTTCCTGGAATTATCCATGAAGCTTTTGTAGAAGCTGAACACTGGAGGAAGCACCACCCTAGCGACACTTTCTGTTACGCCGCTTTGAATGTACACAGAGATAAACCATGTACCCATGAGACCCACACCAAGTGTGTTCTCTCGCCAACTGAAAACATTATGCTTGTAACAACATTTGCGTGCAGGCCGCAACATGAGCGCACCATGGAATCGAGCATCAAATGCCTAGCTATGCCGGCTTTCGCAAGAAATGTCTCAAAAGTGACCTTTTGCGTAATAAGGGGCCGACGTCCGTGGCATGAGAAATGGTTTGTATTGTCCATATCCTATTCGTAAGTCACTATCTTGTCGATAACTGATCGTGGCGTTAACCTAAAACTCATCTGAAAGAACTGTGTAAGAGATCAACAGATGTGTTTCCTATGCAATGAAGCTCACTTTGTTGTTGTAGATGTTTAGCGAGTTAGTGTTTTCAGGACTTTCAAGGAGTCTAATTATCCAAAACTGATTGTGTGGACGTGGCGAAGGTGGCTCCCATGCTGCGTTTTCTTCGAACATAATGACATCAGCGGTGTATTTGTGTTTATCTAAAAAATACCTTTGAGTCAAAAGTCATAATTTCGATGCGTTGCTCGAAAAGCTGATAAAACTTCTTCCATATGGGTGAGTTATTGTAAACATTGAATTTCAACAGTGGAGAGCACAACTCCAAGCCCATGCGTATACACACTTCTAGTGAGACGTTTTACTACATGCTTTTATCGGAGCGGTTTGCTGAACTTTTTAGCGCCAACTCAGTTGGAGGGTACAAACAATGGAACTACTAGGCTCTGATCGCCGCGCTCCTCTGACGCGGATCTTAGGAAAAGTAGGGATTACTTTCTCGGAAAGAGGCGGATCACTACCTGAACTATAGTCACGCATCCCCCGCCGTCACGCATCCCCTCCAACGACTGCGCACAGCTTCGCTTTCTCGGCACTCACATTATTCTAGCTTCCATACCAAGTAAAACTGCCCAGAAGTTAACTGAGATGTATGCGGCAGTGTTTGTTATAAATATCTCCTGATTTTATCTCTTACTGTTGTTTATAAGTGTTGAATGAGCGGAGTACGTATTCTCAAAACTTTCCGGAGACGCTATTGACATGACTTTTCAGTGAAAACGTCCTGAAAAACAGGACAAAATTGGAGCTTGTAGCGTGTGATCGCTACATATTCAGAACGGATAGTACGCCATAACTGGTCAATACACACAGCCTTCGTTGTCTGGCTATGTTCTATTATATGAAAGCACTTACCTAAGGTAGTTAGTATGCAGTTTCTTATTTCACATCCTTCTTTGTGGAAAATAGCAGAACCATGTTGGACGTGAGATGAAAAATCAGTAGGTTGGTAGATTAAGACGGGACTGTTCCTTACCTGAAAAATGTCTATATGATACAATCACTTACCATTATTTATTTATTTTATTTCTTTATTATGTGCTTGTATTAATTAATTCAGTAAATTCGAAAGTTGCTCAAAGATAATTCAACCGTTCATGACCACTAGGAAGCTGGCTAAGTAACAAAATACAAAGAGAACTTGCATCGGCGCTCGAAAACCCGGAATTGTGAGCCTGCTGTTGGAGGTCATGTTTCCCATTGTTCCTGCCAAGATATGTGAACTGACCAAAATCTGACGAAGTTTTCTCAACTTACAACCCTTTTTTCTCAGCTTTCCGAAAGATCTCAATTTTTCGAGCGTCGTCTCCAAACAAAATATTAGTTCGTTGGCCAAAGAAATGACAGTGCATTTGCTTGCTTGTATTCATCACGTATTTTATTTCCAATTAATATGTTATCTTTAATATGAAGGGTTAATACGCTTCGGAAGCCTCAGCTCATGCTCTTGCTAAATGATACTGCAACATTGGTTGTAATTAATTTAATTATAATTTTATTGCGCATTTTATTGCAGATGTCGAAACGGAATTCGCCACTATTTTCTTCTACTGCAGTTCAAGCTAGGACGGAAACGCTGCCCGATACAGCTCCGGAACATCAACGAAGTTTGGAGAATTATCAACGAATCCTACTTACGGTCCACGTTTGGTTCCAGAAGGTTTCGCTGTGGCAACACCAGCCGTTGAAGATGCAACTTCATGTTTTGGTGGTCTGCCCGCGGGCTCATCCATCACAGCTTCCTGAATCCTGGTGAAACAATTACGGTCAGAGAAGTACTAGTCAACAAATCGACGAATGCATCAGAAGCCTTAACGCATGTGCCCAAGTGGTTGCCGTCAATGATGAAGGTAACACTCCACGGATTCCGGACTCTTGAAACTCTGCCTCATCCACCATACTACCAGACTTGTCGCCCACCGATCACCACTTTTTCAAGCATCTGGACAACTATCTTAGAGAGAAAGGCTTCAAAAATCAAGACGATGTCAAAAACGCCTTCAACGATTTTGTGGCCTCTAAAAAGAATTACGACCAATCTTGAAGTATCGTTTAAAAAGAGCATTAGATAAGCTTTCGAATGATATATAACACTCACATTTTATTGGAATAAAATAAGTATTAAATGCAAAAAAACAAATCCTGCATTTCTTTTGCAACGACCTAATATAATTTGACCATCGAAAATAGTATGCGTAGGGCTTCGACACGGCGCCGCAAACGAGTGCACCGGAAAACGAAAAGACACGAAAAGACAACAACCGGAAGAATCACCTTGCGGGTAAGAAAAGTTGCAGTCAAGATCAGATACTAGTTCTATCACCTAATACGGCCTCCCTCTCCTGAGACGAAAAAAACTCCCCTCCCTGACGGGATATTCTTAGACAAAGCACCTTGAGCGAGAGGTGTAGTCGTAAGCGGAGTCTCGAACAGCGCAACAGTTTCAGTCGCTGATTTCACCGCTAATTTTCGAGCAGTGGAATCAGCGCAGTAGAGAACCCAGATGTGAATGTCATGAGTTAGCATAAGCCTGTAAGTACATTGATGAGCAAATAATACAAGGCAAAAAACTTTGCAGATAGGTTGTTGACCTTCACGAACCCACAAAATCATGGCCAGAGATGCTCCAGTAGGAGTTGCATCTTTCCACTATATCTGGAAGGAAGTTTAATGCATGGCACACACTCAGACTATGTAAACCAATGAAAGGCAAACTATTCTTTTATTCAGTTAAACGAAACTATGCATCCTGAAGGGGTATCGCGGTTCTCGATTGACTTCCTTTAATGGCAGAGAGGGAACCAACTTCTGAGTTGCTCACAGTTTCTCACCAGAATCGCGTCTATGATATCCCACAAACAAAGAGGTCTCTGTTAGAAATGTACTACTACTGAGGAAGAGGACTTGCCAGCCTCTGAAGAAATGTTTTTGGTTCTGCAGGCAATTGCTAAGGAAGCTATAATTAACCAACACACTGGAGGTTGCATGTGTTTTTTAATTATCCTGTCAAGAGCTCATAAAAGGTATTTTTCGAAATAGCGAAGATTAAGAGAAAGTCCAGCACTGTTGCAGAATCATAAACCTAATTTTCTGCAACTTGCTCTATGTTTTACAAATACCCGCTTTTAAGAAGGTTTCCATTACCCCAAGGAAGAGTATTTAGTATAAAATGGCTATCAGCCCTGAAAAATTCTGCCCTAGTACGAACTTGCGCAGCGTTAGCTATGCATCCAGGACACATCATCGCTGGGGATTACCCAGTAGGGGATCGTATCTGACCGTTGGGGTCGGGGGATGGTGGGGAGGGGGTCAGTACCGAGGTCAAAGGGGTCAGTGTTGCTAAGCTGTGGTTTGCGCAACTTGCTTTGCAGAGAACCGGGATGCATGAAAACACTACAAACGGGAATGACCAACAAAAGTATTCTTTTCCCTCTTTTTCTTTAGAGTTTGTCCCGCTTAGTGGCAGGGACCACTTTTTTGATGTAATGACGACATTTTCCCGATCAAATTCTTGGTAAGGGTAAATTCCAGCTACCTTCAAATCTGTGTGCAACGTATTGAGCGAGCGCTGCTTAGGACGTCCCTTGGGCCGCTTCCCGGGCACCTCAATGTGGAAACTCCTACAGACGGCGTCATCCGTTGCGCGAAGTACATGGCCATACCATTGGAGGCGCGTTTCTCGCATTTTGTCAGCTATATCAGCTATACCAATTCGTGCGCATTACTTGGTTACAAGTGCGGTCCAAACGCGTGACGCCCGCTGTCCAGGGCAAAATTCTCATCTCCATCGCATTGGGACGGGCTTCAACTTCTGTGGTCGTGGACCAGCACTCAGCAGCGTGTAGAGCGACTGGTCGAACAGCACTTCTGTAGATCTTCTACTTAAGGCGCTCTGGAACCTTATCGCGAAGAATCCCATACACGGATCGCCATTTCGACCACGCAATTTGTTTGATATCCAACATTCACGTACCAGAGGTGGGCAAGCGAAAATTCTCTTAGCCTGCCCCTGAACCAGGGTTAGAGCCGCTAGCTTCTCATTCAGAGCCGCTAGCACATATAAGAAGTTCACCAAGAATACATATAGCTGTTCCCAGGTGGAGAAGTCTGCTCCTCCACGCGGTGCCACTGGGAGCTCGTCTTTGCAAGCTGCAAAACGCAGACATCCGAATGCAGGTGACAGGCCTTCGTGACGGGCCGACCTACGAACACCCCATCTCACATCACAATGTCTAACAATGCCACATGTATGTCGAGATAATGCTACGGCGTCCGTGGGAGCCGACGCGCACTCGTATGGCCCGGCGAATGTGGAAAGTATGCGAGGGTTCTCGTTGCAAGGACGGCATCGGGAGGCAACCAGGCTAGTCCAATCTCACAGTGTAGCGTGAAGGTCCGCGTTGCAACCTTGAACGTTGGAACCTTGACCGGACGTTTATGTGAATTGGCAGAGGCACTAGAGCGCAGGCGAATCGATCTCTGTGCAGTGCAGGAAACAAGATGGTCCAGTTGCAAGTCGAGAGACATTGGTCGCGGCTTCAAAGCCATCCTTTGCGGCAACCCAAGAACTACTAACGGAGTGGCCATAATCGTCTCTCAACAATTCCGTGACTCGATAGTTAGCGCGGAACGTTACGACGATCGCTTGATGAAAATTGTTCTTGCTGTCGAGCAACGACTGTACCACTTCTTTTCGGCATATGCTCCGCAGACGGGATGCACTGAACAATCAAAGGACGAGTTCTGGACTCTGCTCGAAGAGAAGACAGCTGAGGTACCGTCACAAGACGTCGTAATTGTCGCTGGTGGCCGGGCACGTAGGCACAAAGAAAGACGATTACAGTTGTCATGGTGGCTTCGGTTATGGAACACGTAACGTCGATGGCGAACGCATCCTGGAATATGCAGAAGCCCATAACCTTGCCATCGTTAACAGTTCCGTAAACGCGACTCGCATCTGATTACCTTCTACAGCGGGAGTGCTAGAACACAAATAAACTTTGTTCTTGTCAGGCAGCGCGATCAAGGACTTGTCACAGACGCAAAGACTGTGCCGTATGAGACAGTAGCCCCGCAACATCGCCCGCTTGTCTGTACGCTGAAGATAATACCGCCCAGGTCGAAACATATAGAGACATATAGTGTACAACACATATAGTGTATAACATATAGTGGTCCCGAGAGAATCAAATGGTGGCATCCAAAGGAAAAGGAGGCAGCTGCGATCTCTCGCATTCGATTAAACCACAACTGTCGATGAAACATGGAAGAATGCCGGCAAAGCGATAGTTCAGGCCGCTCGCTCTGAACTTGGCATAGTTCAGGCCGCTCGCTCTGAACTTGGCACAACAAAACCTGGAACGCGTAGAATTGAAAAGCAGGCATGGTTGTGGACAGATGACGTCAGGCTCAAGGTCCGCGAAAAGAAGAAGCGCTATCACTCGTTCCTTAAAAATAAGACAGCTGACAACTGGCGGAAATATTGGGGAGCGAGAAGTACAGCAAAGAAGGCTGTGGCTGCGACAAAAGCTGCTCACTTCGAAGACATTAGCAAGAAGCTGGAAACGCGCGATGGTGAACGGCACATCTACGACTTGCCAAGGCTCGTCACCGCCAGACCGAAGATGTAGAAAAGTTCTTTAGCATCAATGACGAGAAGGGCTGCCTTCTGATGGACCGAACAAAGGTGCTGAGGCGATGGAGCGACTACTTCGGAGAAGTTTCCACAGTGGAATACGAACACTCGGCCATCCCCGGCGCCTTACCAACATACGGTACCCCGTTCAGAAGATAAGCGTGAATGAAACGGAGGCGGCTCTCAAGAAGATGGCTAGACAAGGCAACGGGCCCTGACGATGTGGCGGTCGAAGTATGGAAGTCACACTGCTGGCATGCTGCCGAATGGTTGACAATGTTTTTCAATCAGGTCGTTGCAGAGAAGAAAATGCCCGAAGCTTGGAAGGAGAGCACGACGGTACCGATCTGGAAGAAAAAAGGCAGTCCTGCAGACTGCTCGAATTATCGTCCAATTCGCTTGCTCTCGCACAGCATGAAAGTTTTCGAGCGAATTGTTGATAAGCGTATCCGTGATATCGTCCGGCTCTCTACCAACCAGTGCGGTTTCGTGATTGGCTGTAGCACTATCGACGCCATACATGCAGCTCGCCTCTTGCTAGAGAAACATCGTGAGAAGAGAAAGCATATCCACCTAACGTGTATCTCTACCTCACTAATGCTCAAGCTGAGATCACATCAGGTACTGCGGCAAGCAATTTAGGGCAAATGCACGCTGCTTCCGTTCATCCACTAAACCCAACATCAATCAACTCGCAATACGGTCGCCATTCGCACCGAAGTAAGCCTCCCCGCTCTGAAGACGAGACCATGCGTCGTGGAGAGATATTTGATCTGAGATTGACTGGTGACATTGTCGTTGGCGTTTCAAGCTGTCCAGCTCGTTATTTCGGCGTCGACAGCTGTCATGCTGGCGCCAAGGGCGGTAGAAGAAAGAGTTTGAGGAAGCACTTGGAGGGGTCGGTGCCAAAGTAGGCGATAACATTCTTCTTCATATTGCCGATAAGGAGAGGCAGAAGTCAAGGCCAGTGATACAATAGAAAGACCATTCTTTGATGTATAAGTGCTCATATTACCGGTTAACGCTTTTCAGAAATTAGCAAATATTTTGGGTTCAAAATATATGACAGAACTTTCCCGCCAACTAATAGAAATGCTATAGGACCGTCGTAGCGACCAGTCGCGATATACGGCGCTGAATGTTGGCGACGACCAAAGAAGTTGAAGCGCGCATAGGAGTCATAAGAGATGAAAATGCTGGCGATGGACCGCTGGTGTCACGCGTATGGATCGCATACGCAGATGACGACATGAAGGAAGAGCTTCGGTGTAGCTCCTGTCGCCGAGAAACTGCGCGAAGCTCGCCTTCGATGGTATGGTCATGTGCTTCGTGCGAATTCAGACCATGTCCGTAGGATTGGTCTTGAGCTCGAGGTTCCCGGAAAACGGCCTATAAGTTCGCCCCAAGCAGCGCTGGTCAGATACGTTTGTTGGCGGACTTGAAGTGGTTGGAACCATCCTGATCAAGCATTCAATAGGGTGAAGTGGCGTGATAAAATAAGACGAGCGGACCCTGCTACAGAGCGGGACAAACCCTGAAGAATAAGAAGAAGGAGACATATAGCTGTTCCCAATGCTCCTCACAGCTCAAGATGATTGTAGCTGCACGGTTACTTAGTCATGGAACATCCAGTTTATTTGAGATTGACTTTAGAATTTCCTAAATTCCAACCAATAATTGAATAGTCCAATTCGAATCGCTTGCTAGCTCGAATCGGATCATTTCACTTTTGTATGAGTACGATATTTTCTGATATAATGAGCAATGCTTTTAAGAGTGCTGATGTATAGGTTGGAAAGAAAGTCCTGTCAGTGTTTTTTAGATAGCCTACATTTTTGATCTTCGAAGCTCGAACATGACGTAACATGCGCTAAGGTTGTAGAACATTCTCGAAGCTTTTCTACAAGAGGTATATCGAGGTTCCTGCTCTTCCGGTGTGTTTACTTTGCTGTCAGTTTTCACCGAGCAGCTTCGAGTGATCATCTTCTATGAGTGGCCGCCGCCGGCACTGGAGTTGGCGGCAGCTGCCCGTAACATCAAATGTGCATTGTGGGAGGAAACCACACCCGTCAGGACTGTCCACCCGTTGGTTCGCTCGCTTCGCGAGGAGAGAGATCTTTGAAGACAAACCGTCTGGGACCGCCCTCGGCGGCGTATGAATATTCCGCCGTGTCTCTGAACCTGTCAGAAAGGACCCAGAGGGCTACTACGCGCAGTATTGCGACAAGGCTAGGGTGTAGCCATTACAACAGCTCTAAGCCGCCTTCAGGCCCTTGGCTACAGAAAAGTCCTCACGCGATGGATACCTCATGCTGTAACAGATGGCACGCGGTATGCGAGGGTAAGCATTGTCGATCCTTCCTTCTACACCGCAACCGAAGGAGTTTCTGGAAGATATTTGTGGCTGGAGATATAAGCTGGGTCCTCTATGATTCCAACCTACATCCGTGCCATGTGGCTCCCTCGAGGGGAAAGACTCGCGCCTACGCAACCAAGATCGAACCTGCACTCTGGAAAGGTTCTCTTTGCTGCTTCTGGGATTCGAAGGGCATGCTGCACCACGAGCTGGCTTCCGCAAGGGCATACGGTACGCTACACGTTTACGGCCGCCTAACTCCAAAAACTCGCCCCAAGCTCTTGAAAGCGCCCGAGACGAGCTTCGTGTGCCTCCTCCATGATAACGCCAGAGCACATGTGGCTAAAGAAACCACCGACAAATTGGAAGCTAGGCTGGAGACTGCTCCCCATCCCCGTATTG